CAGCCATGCCATGCCGCCATGCCATGCCATGCCATGCCATGCCATGCCATGCCATGCCATGCCATGCCATGCCATGCCATGCCATGCCATGCCATGCCATGCCATGCCATGCCGCAGCCATGCCATGCCATGCCATGCCATGCCGCAGCCATGCCATGCCATGCCATGCCGCAGCCATGCCATGCCATGCCATGCCATGCCGCAGCCATGCCATGCCATGCCATGCCGCAGCCATGCCATGCCATGCCATGCCATGCCATGCCATGCCATGCCATGCCATGCCATGCCATGCCATGCCGCAGCCATGCCATGCCATGCCATGCCATGCCGCAGCCATGCCATGCCGCAGCCATGCCATGCCGCAGCCATGCCATGCCGCAGCCATGCCATGCCGCAGCCATGCCATGCCGCAGCCATGCCATGCCGCAGCCATGCCATGCCGCAGCCATGCCATGCCGCAGCCATGCCATGCCGCAGCCATGCCATGCCATGCCATGCCATGCCATGCCATGCCATGCCATGCCATGCCATGCCATGCCATGCCATGCCGCAGCCATGCCATGCCATGCCATGCCATGCCATGCCATGCCGCAGCCATGCCATGCCGCAGCCATGCCATGCCATGCCATGCCATGCCATGCCATGCCATGCCATGCCATGCCATGCCATGCCATGCCGCAGCCATGCCATGCCATGCCATGCCATGCCATGCCATGCCATGCCATGCCATGCCATGCCATGCCATGCCATGCCATGCCATGCCGCAGCCATGCCATGCCATGCCGCAGCCATGCCATGCCATGCCATGCCATGCCATGCCATGCCATGCCATGCCATGCCATGCCATGCCATGCCATGCCATGCCATGCCATGCCATGCCATGCCGCAGCCATGCCATGCCGCAGCCATGCCATGCCATGCCATGCCATGCCATGCCATGCCATGCCATGCCGCAGCCATGCCATGCCGCAGCCATGCCATGCCATGCCATGCCATGCCATGCCGCAGCCATGCCATGCCGCAGCCATGCCATGCCATGCCATGCCATGCCATGCCATGCCATGCCATGCCATGCCATGCCATGCCATGCCATGCCATGCCATGCCATGCCATGCCATGCCATGCCATGCCATGCCATGCCATGCCATGCCATGCCATGCCGCAGCCATGCCATGCCATGCCATGCCATGCCGCAGCCATGCCATGCCATGCCATGCCGCAGCCATGCCATGCCATGCCATGCCATGCCGCAGCCATGCCATGCCATGCCATGCCGCAGCCATGCCATGCCATGCCATGCCATGCCATGCCATGCCATGCCATGCCATGCCATGCCATGCCATGCCATGCCATGCCATGCCATGCCATGCCGCAGCCATGCCATGCCATGCCATGCCATGCCGCAGCCATGCCATGCCATGCCATGCCGCAGCCATGCCATGCCATGCCATGCCATGCCGCAGCCATGCCATGCCATGCCATGCCGCAGCCATGCCATGCCATGCCATGCCATGCCGCAGCCATGCCATGCCGCAGCCATGCCATGCCATGCCATGCCATGCCGCAGCCATGCCATGCCGCAGCCATGCCATGCCATGCCATGCCATGCCATGCCATGCCGCAGCCATGCCATGCCATGCCATGCCATGCCGCAGCCATGCCATGCCGCAGCCATGCCATGCCGCAGCCATGCCATGCCGCAGCCATGCCATGCCGCAGCCATGCCATGCCGCAGCCATGCCATGCCGCAGCCATGCCATGCCGCAGCCATGCCATGCCGCAGCCATGCCATGCCGCAGCCATGCCATGCCATGCCATGCCATGCCATGCCATGCCATGCCATGCCATGCCATGCCATGCCATGCCATGCCATGCCATGCCATGCCATGCCATGCCATGCCATGCCATGCCATGCCGCAGCCATGCCATGCCATGCCATGCCATGCCGCAGCCATGCCATGCCATGCCATGCCATGCCGCAGCCATGCCATGCCATGCCATGCCGCAGCCATGCCATGCCATGCCATGCCATGCCATGCCATGCCATGCCATGCCATGCCATGCCATGCCATGCCATGCCATGCCATGCCATGCCATGCCATGCCATGCCGCAGCCATGCCATGCCATGCCATGCCATGCCGCAGCCATGCCATGCCATGCCATGCCGCAGCCATGCCATGCCATGCCATGCCATGCCGCAGCCATGCCATGCCATGCCATGCCGCAGCCATGCCATGCCATGCCATGCCATGCCGCAGCCATGCCATGCCGCAGCCATGCCATGCCATGCCATGCCATGCCATGCCATGCCATGCCATGCAATGCCATGCCATGCCATGCCATGCCATGCCATGCCATGCCATGCCGCAGCCATGCCATGCCATGCCATGCCATGCCGCAGCCATGCCATGCCATGCCATGCCGCAGCCATGCCATGCCATGCCATGCCATGCCGCAGCCATGCCATGCCATGCCATGCCGCAGCCATGCCATGCCATGCCATGCCATGCCATGCCATGCCATGCCATGCCATGCCATGCCATGCCATGCCATGCCATGCCATGCCATGCCATGCCATGCCATGCCGCAGCCATGCCATGCCATGCCATGCCATGCCGCAGCCATGCCATGCCATGCCATGCCGCAGCCATGCCATGCCATGCCATGCCATGCCGCAGCCATGCCATGCCATGCCATGCCGCAGCCATGCCATGCCATGCCATGCCATGCCGCAGCCATGCCATGCCGCAGCCATGCCATGCCATGCCATGCCATGCCGCAGCCATGCCATGCCGCAGCCATGCCATGCCATGCCATGCCATGCCATGCCATGCCATGCCGCAGCCATGCCATGCCATGCCATGCCATGCCGCAGCCATGCCATGCCATGCCATGCCGCAGCCATGCCATGCCATGCCATGCCATGCCGCAGCCATGCCATGCCATGCCATGCCGCAGCCATGCCATGCCATGCCATGCCATGCCATGCCATGCCATGCCATGCCATGCCATGCCATGCCATGCCATGCCATGCCATGCCATGCCATGCCATGCCGCAGCCATGCCATGCCATGCCATGCCATGCCGCAGCCATGCCATGCCATGCCATGCCGCAGCCATGCCATGCCATGCCATGCCATGCCGCAGCCATGCCATGCCATGCCATGCCGCAGCCATGCCATGCCATGCCATGCCATGCCGCAGCCATGCCATGCCGCAGCCATGCCATGCCATGCCATGCCATGCCGCAGCCATGCCATGCCGCAGCCATGCCATGCCATGCCATGCCATGCCATGCCATGCCATGCCATGCCATGCCATGCCATGCCATGCCATGCCATGCCATGCCATGCCGCAGCCATGCCATGCCATGCCATGCCATGCCGCAGCCATGCCATGCCATGCCATGCCGCAGCCATGCCATGCCATGCCATGCCATGCCGCAGCCATGCCATGCCATGCCATGCCGCAGCCATGCCATGCCATGCCATGCCATGCCATGCCATGCCATGCCATGCCATGCCATGCCATGCCATGCCATGCCATGCCATGCCATGCCATGCCATGCCATGCCGCAGCCATGCCATGCCATGCCATGCCATGCCGCAGCCATGCCATGCCATGCCATGCCGCAGCCATGCCATGCCATGCCATGCCATGCCGCAGCCATGCCATGCCATGCCATGCCGCAGCCATGCCATGCCATGCCATGCCATGCCGCAGCCATGCCATGCCATGCCATGCCGCAGCCATGCCATGCCATGCCATGCCATGCCATGCCATGCCATGCCATGCCATGCCATGCCATGCCATGCCATGCCATGCCATGCCATGCCATGCCATGCCATGCCATGCCATGCCGCAGCCATGCCATGCCATGCCATGCCGCAGCCATGCCATGCCATGCCGCAGCCATGCCATGCCATGCCATGCCGCAGCCATGCCATGCCATGCCATGCCATGCCGCAGCCATGCCATGCCATGCCATGCCGCAGCCATGCCATGCCATGCCATGCCATGCCGCAGCCATGCCATGCCGCAGCCATGCCATGCCATGCCATGCCATGCCGCAGCCATGCCATGCCATGCCATGCCATGCCATGCCATGCCATGCCGCAGCCATGCCATGCCATGCCATGCCGCAGCCATGCCATGCCATGCCATGCCGCAGCCATGCCATGCCATGCCATGCCATGCCGCAGCCATGCCATGCCGCAGCCATGCCATGCCATGCCATGCCATGCCGCAGCCATGCCATGCCGCAGCCATGCCATGCCATGCCATGCCATGCCATGCCATGCCATGCCATGCCATGCCATGCCATGCCATGCCATGCCATGCCGCAGCCATGCCATGCCATGCCATGCCGCAGCCATGCCATGCCATGCCATGCCATGCCGCAGCCATGCCATGCCATGCCATGCCGCAGCCATGCCATGCCATGCCATGCCATGCCGCAGCCATGCCATGCCATGCCATGCCGCAGCCATGCCATGCCATGCCATGCCATGCCATGCCATGCCATGCCATGCCATGCCATGCCATGCCATGCCATGCCATGCCATGCCATGCCATGCCATGCCGCAGCCATGCCATGCCATGCCATGCCGCAGCCATGCCATGCCATGCCGCAGCCATGCCATGCCATGCCATGCCGCAGCCATGCCATGCCATGCCATGCCATGCCGCAGCCATGCCATGCCATGCCATGCCGCAGCCATGCCATGCCATGCCATGCCATGCCGCAGCCATGCCATGCCGCAGCCATGCCATGCCATGCCATGCCATGCCGCAGCCATGCCATGCCATGCCATGCCATGCCATGCCATGCCATGCCGCAGCCATGCCATCACTCCTTTCATGCCACTACTATCCTGCCACCCCTGGTTTTGAGCGAGAAAGAATCGTCTTTGAGTTTGAACTGTTTCGGTTGAATCATGAACCTTGCTCCTCCCTGCTCCCTGCCTCCACACGCCCCATGCTTGTCCCACAGGCTGCAATGCGGATTGCGGGTCGACTGCTAAGTGCATCGTGAGGGATGGCAAGGACGAGTGTGTGTGCCCTGGGTTTCTATTCTTCTACGCAAAGGACAAGCAATGCGGTAATGAGTGGCCCCAAGGACAAGCAATGCGGTAATGAGTGGCGCCAAGGACAAGCAGTGCGGACAAGCAATGCGGTAATGAGTGGCGCCAAGGACAAGAAGTGCGGTAATGAGTGGCGCCAAGGACAAGCAATGCGGTAATGAGTGGCGCCAAGGACAAGCAATGCGGTAATGAGTCGTGCTTGTTTAGTGAGGGCGAGTGCATCATAAAAAAGGCAAGCTCAAGTGTGTGCGTGAGAGTGGAGGCTCTTGGGCCGTGGATGCTGTGCTCTTGGGCCGTGGATGCTGTGCTCTTGGGCCGTGGATGCTGTGCTCTCAAGTCAAGGGTTCTCAAGTCAAGGGTTCTCAAGTCAAGGGTTCTCAAGTCAAGGGTTCTCAAGTCAAGGGTTCTCAAGTCAAGGGTTCTCAAGTCAAGGGTTCCTCCGTCTGCCTCACATGAGAGGCCTGATGCAGCTTGTGTTCGTGGGGGAGATGCCCCATGCTTCTCATGCGCTCCAATCTAATGCCCTCGCGTCTTGCTCGTGCCACCCATCCTTTCTTCCCTCGCCCCTTGCTCGTCCCTGCCCTGCTGTGTGCAGCGCCCCCACCCTCCTGTGCCACCATTGTGTGTCCGGCCAACTCCACCTGCAATGCCACTGCCGACCCGCCCTGCATCTGCAATAAGGGGCTCAGCATGACAGACGGCCAGTGCGTTGGTGAGCCTCCTCCTTCTCACCCTCGTCCTTTTCAACCTCTCACTTTGTTACATCTTCCTTCTCACCCTCTTCCTTCTCACCCTCTTCCTTCTCACCCTCTTCCTTCTCACCCTCTTGCTTCTCTCCTTGTTTCTTCACGTACTCTTCCTTCTCCCCCTCTTCGTTCTCTCCCTCTGCTCTCCTTCTTCTTTCTCCCCCTCTTCTTTGTTTCCCTCTTTCTTTTCTCCCCCTTCCTTCTCAACCTCTTGCCTCTCACAATTGCCTCATTCTTGTTACCTTCTTGCCTCTTACTCCCACTTCTCGCCCTCTTGCTTCTCATCCCCTCGACTCTTACCCTTGCTTCTCGCCCTCTTGCTTCTCATCCTTTCGCCTCTCATTCTTGCTTCTCGCCCTCTTGCTTCTCACCTTGTTTCTTCTCACCCTCTTCCTTCTCCCCCTCTTCGTTCTCTCCCTCTTCTCTCCTTCTTCTTTCTTCCCCTCTTCTTTCTCTCCCCCTTCCTTCTCTACTTCCCGCCCCTCACTCCTCCTTCTAATCCTTGCGCCTCTCGTTTTTTCTTCTCGCCTCGTACTTCTCACTCTTCCTTCTCACACTCTAGCCTCTCGCTCTTGCTCCTCTCCCACGTTGTTTTCGCCCTCTTGCCTCTCACAATTGCTTCGCTCGCTCTTTCTCGTCACCTTCTTGCCTCTTACTCTTTCTTCTCGCCCTCTTGCTTCTCATTCCCTTGCGTCTCATTCTTGCTTCTCGCCATCTTGCTCCTCACCCTCTTGCCCCTCACTCTTCTTTATAATCCTTGCGCCTCTTGGTCTTGCTTCTCATCTCATACCTCTCACTCCTCCTTCTCACCCTCTTGCCTCGCATTTTTCTTCTCACCCTCTAGCCTCTCACTCTTGCTCCTCTCCCTCGTCGTTCTCACCCTCTTTGCTCTCACTCTTGCTTTTCACCCACTTGATTCTCACTCCTCCTTCTTGCCTACTTGCCTCCCGCTCTTGCTCCTCACCCTCTTGCTTTTCTCCCTCTTCCTTCTCACCATCTCGCCTCTCATTCTTCCTTCTTACCCCATTGCCTCTCACTCCTGCTCCTCTTCCTTAAGCACTTCGCTTCACATGCTCACTCTGCTGCTTGTGTTCCCAAATGAGAGCTTCCTCCTGCTACCGCACATGTGGGGGAGAGGCCCCATGCTTCTCATGCGCTCCAATCTAACGCCCTCGCGTCTTGCTCGTGCCACCCAGGCTTGCTTCCCTCGCCCCTTGCTCGCCCCTGCCCTGCTGCCTGCAGCGCCCCCAGCCTCCTGTGCCACCATTGTGTGTCCGGCCAACTCCACCTGCAATGCCACTGCCGACCCACCCTGCATCTGCAATAAGGGGCGCAGCATGACAGACGGCCAGTGCGTTGGTATGCCTCCTCCTTCTCACCCTCCTCCTCCTCTCCCTCATCCGCTCCCACTTCGTTTTCACCCTCTTCCACCCCTCCCTGCCGTACTCATAATTTCCAACGTGCATGTCGTGTTTGAGACGTGATTGGGCACCTTAACACGCTGCATGTTCCTCTCTTTCATCTCCCATTCCTCGTGCACTCCTGTTCCCCGTTGGCAGCCATGTGCAAGCGTGCCTGCACGCGCAACGCTGAGTGTGCACTGGTGAACAACAAGCCTGCGTGTCGCTGCAAGACTGGATACGTGAGGAGGAGGAACAACAAGTGCATGCCATCACCCCCCCCAACGGGATATTACTAGGGTACGATGGAGTGGGAAAATAGGGTGAGCTGCTTTTCATTCTCCCCAACCCCCTGCAGTCCACCACATGCCACGTCATGCCATCCTGGTTCCTTGAACTTTCCCCACCCATCTCGAGCAAACATACCTAGCCCGTCATTTTGCTGACGTGTGCTTTGGATTGTTCCTCGACTCTTTTCTGTTTGGTGCAGGGGTGGGAGGAGCACCAGCAAAGGGGCTCAGCATCAAGGCACCACTGCTGCTCAAGGGTTCACTCACTCACACACTCATATTTCTGGATTTAGAGTGGGTTCTCTTTGTGGGTTTCAAAGTCGGCTTTTCTTTTCTACCGTATGTGGGTCGAATGACTACGGTATATTGTAATGTGCACGTTGTAATCACGTAGGTTCTTGATAATGGACTTGTGCTTGCAAAGTGTATGTTGTATTCTTTGTCAGAGAAAAGCTATTCCGAGTTAACGTCATAGATACCGGAACCGTATGATTTTTAAGGCGAGGGAAGGTACGGTACGGTAGTAGTAGGCTAGTTCATGTGAATGTAATGGAAAACTGTCCTCAATACCGTATGTGCGGACCTTACGGCGCATTCAAATTGTTCAATGACTCCAACCGTTCCTCCACTGCTGGCTACCACTCGCTGCGCTGCGCATGCGCTGTAAGTAGCGCCCCAACCCAACCCAACCCCAATCCAAAAAGGCTGACCCGACCCTACGCTTTGGCCCAAGCCACGGCAATAGCACTGTAGCACATGCACAGGCCGTGCAGTGCAGCTCCTCCCACCGCCTTGGCAGCACCCTTCACTCCTCCACAGCACCCCTTATCCCCGGCAAGGCAACCCTCTCACTCACAGCACCTGCAATTCTCGCCTCCCTACACCAGGCGTCCACCTAGCAACACTCGTTACCCCACCACACCACACCACACCACGCCCAACTCCTCTGCCCCGATCACTTGCCCTTGACTGGGCTCTTCCCCCTCTTGGCGTCAAAACCGCGGCCCGCCGCCATCCATACAGCCTTGCCAGCACCGCCTCGCATCTAGGCGGCAGCACCGATCCTCGCCTGCCCCACTCACTTGCACTTGGCTCGCCACTCTTCTCCTGCGACCCGCGCCCCGCCCCGCCCCGCCCCGCCCACGGCCTTGCCTGCCAGCAGCCCCCCTCACCCCAGCGCAGCCTCGCATCTTGGCAGCAGCAGCGATCCTGGCCTGCCCCGTGGTGGTGCCACCTCCCCCCGCTCACTGCGCCACACCCCACCACACCACGCCCAACTCCTCTGCCTAGCTCACTTGCTGGCCTGGCTCTTGGCCTTCTTAGCCTTGGAACCATTCCCTGGCTGGCCCACAGCCTTGGCAGCAGCGCCCCTTATTCCAGCAGACCCCCGCATCCTGGCAGCAGCAGCAATCCTGGCTTGCCACGTGGCCGTGTCCACCTCCCACCGCTCGTTGCGCCACACTAAAGGGGGCAGCCCGCCCTCCCCTGACTGGTAGTCGTACGTCACTGCGTGCGCCGCCTCCGCACTCGTGTCCCGGGGACCGGCTGAGAGGGTTGGAGAATGGGGGAGGGGGAAGTAGGGGGAAGAAGGGCGGGCAGCGGGGAATGAGGAGGGTAGCACTGCTGTCGCTCACTGCTGTCGCTCACTGCTGTCGCTCACTGCTGTCGCTCACTGCTGTCGCTCACTGCTGTCGCTCACTGCTGTCGCTCACTGCTGTCGCTCACTGCTGTCGCTCACTGCTGTCGCTCACTGCTGTCGCTCACTGCTGTCGCTCACTGCTGTCGCTCACTGCTGTCGCTCACTGCTGTCGCTCACTGCTGTCGCTCACTGCTGTCGCTCACTGCTGTCGCTCACTGCTGTCGCTCACTGCTGTCGCTCACTGCTGTCGCTCACTGCTGTCGCTCACTGCTGTCGCTCACTGCTGTCGCTCACTGCTGTCGCTCACTGCTGTCGCTCACTGCTGTCGCTCACTGCTGTCGCTCACTGCTGTCGCTCACTGCTTGTCGCTCACTGCTGTCGCTCACTGCTGTCGCTCACCTGCTGTCGCTCACTGCTGTCGTCACTGCTGTCGCTCACTGCTGTCGCTCACTGCTGTCGCTCACTGCTGTCGCTCACGTGCTGTCGCTCACTGCTGTCGCTCACGTGCTGTCGCTCACTTGCTGTCGCTCAATGCTGTCGCTCACTGCTGTCGCTCACTGCTGTCGCTCACTGCTGTCGCTCACTGCTGTCCTACTGCTGTCGCTCACTGCTGTCGCTCACTGCTGTCGCTCACTGCTGTCCGCTCACTGCTGTCGCTCACTGCTGTCGCTCACTGCTGTCGCTCACTGCTGTCGCTCACTGCTGTCGCTCACTGCTGTCGCTCACTGCTGTCGCTCACTGCTCTCACTCACTGCTCTCGCTCACTGCTCTCACTCACTGCTCTCGCTCACTGCTCTCACTCACTGCTCTCACTCACTGCTCTCGCTCACTGCTCTCGCTCACTGCTCTCGCTCACTGCTCTCACAGGAAGGAACTGGGATGGCAGCGAGGGGAGGTTAGCAGCTCGTTCCTCCCACTGCTGGGCAAGGAGTGTGCGAGGATTGGAAGACCACGGCACAGCAAGACCGCAACACAGCGGCATGGAGGCAGGCAGGCAGGCAGGGAGGCAGGGAGGCAGGGAGGCAGGGAGAAGAGGGTTGCTGCAAGGCTTCAAGAGAGGCAGCGAGCAGCGGAGTAGACGCAGCAGCAGTGGTGGAGGGAGAGGAGAGAGGGGCGGGTCACCTTGGGTAGGGAGCAGTGCAGAGTGAGCAACAGTGGGGGCATAAGCGGTGGCGGGTGTGGGCGAGTGGGTGGGAACACAAGAGGTACTCTGTGGGTGGGGGTACAAGAGAGGCGCGTGGGTCACCTTCGGTGGGGAGCGGTGTGCGGCGGTTCTTGAGGATTTCAGGGCGTGGGATGACGGCCCCTGAGGCACTCCTGCCCGCCGCCACCCTCACCTTGGCGCCCTCCTCCGTGTACCGGATGGCCACCCGGCATGGCGCACTGTGGTGGGATGAGGGGATGGTTGACGCGAGAGAGGGGGAGGGATGCCTCAGAAGAGGAGAGGAAACAAAGGACGGGGAAGAATGCCTCAGAATCACCAGCCCGCCGCCACCCTCGCCTTGGCGCCCTCCTGCGTATAACGAAATGCCACCCGGCATGGTGCTCTGCGGTGGGGTATGACATGGGGGGTTGAGAGAGGGTAGTGGGAGGGAAGAGTAGGGGAAGAGAGAGGGGAAGACAAATGGAAAGAAGTGGAGATGAAGGAGGAAATCGGAGGCTTTGGGTGGGCATGTCATTCGTGGCCACTCTCACCTTGGCACCCTCCTCCGTGTACCGGAACGCCACGAGGCATGGTGCACTGTGGGGGTATGGAAGAGGCGAGAGAGAGGAGAGAAGGGAAGGAGAGAGAGAGGACATGAACATACAACCCCCGCATGAACACAGTGGAAATGATAATTCTCAGAACTCTCAGAAGCATCCAGCCCCCACAGCCCTCGCCCTGGTGCCCTCCTCTGTGAAACAAAGGGTGGAGAAGAATGGGGGAGGGAAGGTGCATGGCTTCGGCTCCTGGAAGGTGCTCCCTGTTGAGTGCTGCAGCACACGTGGCACTTGTGCCCCCTGTTGAGTGCTGCAGCACACGTGGCACTTGTGCCCCCTGTTGAGTGCTGCAGCACACGTGGCACTTGTGCCCCCTGCCACCCTCATCTTGGGTCCCTGCAGCGAAGCACCACTTGGCATGGGAAAAATGAGGGAGATTCAGTAGGGAGGGGGTAGCGACGGCTTCTGTGTGGCGTTGGTGCTGTGCTGCGCTGTGCTGTGCTGTGCTGTGCGGTGCAATGCTGTGCTGTGCTGTAGCACACCAAATGGCAGAAAAGGCAGTGAGGCAGTGAAGCAGTAAAAAGAAGGAGGTCAAAAGAATAACCGTGAAGGTGACTGAGAAAGCGCAAGCACGGCACCCCTGTCTCCACGTGGAGCAGAGCAGCGAGCGGCGGTGAAAGAAGGCCTCCTGGCACTCATGGCGGGGGGCCATACAACAGCGGGGGGGCGCCACACGTACCCTGTCTCGAGTCGAGCAGGGAGAGGTTGGAGAGGTGGATGGGCGCCCTTATGGCAACTATGCCATTCCAAGACTCATTTGTGCAGACAGCGATGCAGGCACGTGGGTGTAGAGAGCAGTGCAGGCACGTACCCAGTCTCAGGGTCGAGCAGCGAGAGGTTGGAGAGGTGCATGGGCGCCTCCACTGTGATCACCCCTCCTGGCGAGTCCGCTGACTTCTTCACATGCTTCTTCGCCTGTTGGGGGGACCGGGAACGGGAAGGCAGAGCAAGGCAGGGCGGAGGGAGGAAGGCGGAGGGAGGGCGGAGGGAGGAGGGAGGAGGGCGGAGGGAGAAGGGAGGAGAGAGGATATGGGAGCGGCGGAGCAGAAACGGGTGTGGGGGGGGTAGGGAAGAGGGAGTGGGAAGGGCAGGTGGAGGGTGAGAGGGGGGAGGGAGGGTAGGTGGAGGGAGAAGAGCAGGAGAGGAGCACGGGGTGGTGGGATGCGTGGTGTGCGTGGGGAGGGCAGGTGGGGCGAATGTTGTGTCCACAGGTAACCCTTTTCTGCAAGGTTCTCAGCAGCGACGAGGATCCCCACATGGACCACTCATCGCACTCAACCCTCTCCCTCACTCCGCCCCCCCCTCCTTGCTCACTCACACACCCAACCCAACCCCACTCCACTCCACTCCACTACAGCTCCTCTGCGGTTTGCTTGCATGTACCACCGCCCCGTCCCTGCCTGCTGTTGCATGCCACCCTCTCTGCACCCTCTCACCACCCCTCACCACGCCTCACCCCAAGCGTCCCTCAAGCCGGCCCGACTCGCCACCACATGAGAGCCCCGCTTCCTCCACACGCCCTCACCCCCCCAGCCCCAACACCCCCCTCCCCCACAAACCTACCTGCACCGTCTCCCTCTCCCACCCCCCCCCAACGCAGCAGTATGAGCCCACCACCACACGCAGTTGCGGTTCCTCTGCGCAGCCTCTCTAACCCCACCTGCTATATCCCAACCCACTCCACGCCACGCCACTCCACTCCATGCCACGCCACGCCACTCCACTCCACTCCACTCCACTTCACTCCACTCCACTCCACTCCACTCCACTCCACTCCACTCCACTCCACTCCACTCCACTCCACTCCACTCCACTCCACTCCACTCCACTTCACTCCACTCCACTCCACTCCACTGCACTCCACTCCACTCCACTCCACTCCACTCCACTCCACTCCACTCCACTCCACTCCACTCCACTCCACTCCACTCCACTCCACTCCACTCCACTCCACTCCACTCCACTCCACTCCACTCCACTTCACTTCACTCCACTCCACTCCACTTCACTTCACTTCACTCCACTCCACTCCACTCCACTTCACTTCACTTCACTTCACTCCACTCCACTCCACTTCACTCCACTCCACTCCACTCCACTCCACTCCACTCCACTCCACTCCACTCCACTCCACTCCACTCCACTCCACTTCACTTCACTCCAACCCCTCCTGCCCTCGCTCTTGCCCCCATCACCCACGCACCAGGTTCAACCCCTCCACCACGACACGGTTCTACTCCTTCACCACGGCCGCCACCGTGCGGGTTTGCCCTCACCCTCACCCCCGGCTACTATAACCCGATTCAAACCATCCCATCCTGCTCCCCCAGTCCCCCTCCCCTCCTCCCCCACGCATCTCACCAGGTTGAGCCCTCCACCACCACGCGGTTCTCCCTCAACACGGCCCGTGCATCCCCTCACCCCGTGCTGTAACCCCCTCTACCCCCTCCTCCCCCCTCCATCCCCACGCATCTCACCAGGTTGAGCCCCTCCACCACCACGCGGTTCTTCTCCTTGAGCACGGCCCATGTGCCCTCTCACCCCGTGCTATAACCCCCGTAACACCACTATAACCCGCTCCTCCCGCCCCACTTCACCCCCCTCACCAGGTTGAGCCCCTCCACGACGACGCGGTTCTTCTCCTTGAGCACGGCCGTCACCGTGCCCGTCTGCCCGCGGTCCTTGCCCGCCATCACCATCACCTGGGGGGCCACGGGGGACGGGGGGAGCAAGGAGAAGGGCGCAGCATTGTGGGTGGCAGGCAGGCATGGCAGGCAGGCATGGCAGGCAGGCATGGCAGGCAGGCATGGCAGGCAGGCATGGCAGGCAGGCAGGCGTGGCAGGCAGGCATGGCAGCATTGAGTGTGGGCGAAACAGTTGAAGGGGAGGGGGTGACGCCGCGCATCCCCTCCGCGCCGCTCACCTTATCGCCGCGCAGGATCTTCCACGCGCGGATCGCCGTTTGCGCCGGCTTCCACCCCATCGCGTCGCGTCGCCTCGCGTGCTAATTTTTTTCCGACAAGCCGAGAAAGTTGGCTCGACGACGACGCGGGGGCAAACCCTAACCCGGACGTGCGAGTCCAATCTGGAACCGCAACGGCAGCAACGGATCGCGATGAGCCGGCGGCACCGGCGATGAGAGATGAGAGAGATCGATCCGGAAGGCAGAACAATCAGGTCGAGCGTCGTTGCGAAGATGGGGTCGAGGTAGTAACGTCGAGCGGAACGTGAGAAGCGGTGCGATAGAGCGCACGAGTGGATGGCGGGCGGAGGAGGATGGCGGATGGAGCTGGGTGTGTTCGAAGTGGTCGCTGCGCTGGCTAGCCAGGAGGATGCGGCGGCGGTGCGATCAGCCTTGCCCCCCAGAAGTCCGCTAGAAGGCACAAGGGGAACCACACGCGGAATTCTCTGATGTGAGTTCGTGTGTTAGATTAGGGCGTAGTTACATGTTGACACCACACCTGTTCGGCCTCGCTACTGGTTGGGGGACTAACCTGGTTTGTTTTATTTACTTAAAAGAGTTTTGGTCGGTTTTGAGCACTCCACACCTCCAGTTGTACCAGCCGGTATCAAGGGCGGTTCATCTGGTTGCGACATGCTAACTAGTATGAGAGAACCCGAAATACGCATACGAACATAACCCAAGGACAGCAAGCTCAGAGAGCCACCATACTAGGAACCCGATTTGAGCCTTTTCCACACGTGATAAAGACGTGTTGAACTCGCGAGTCCTAGCTGACCTGGTACTACCCCAGCTCATAGCACGCACTCGTGCTGCTTCCCGGGCTTGTAGGATTCCAGAGTTGTTTGCGCTGCGATCAATGGCTTCCCGGCTTTTCGCTGCAGTGGCTCGCCGCGGTCGATCGTGCGGCGCGCTGCTGAGTCAGCAGCAGCCTGCGCGGCTCGTTCAGGAGCGCGCGATGGTGCTCGGCGCGGACCACACGAGCAAGTGGATGCAGGTGCGACGCTTTTTGGATTCAGAGGGCGTTTTTTAGACCACGGTCCCACACGCGACAAGCATTCTCAGAGCATTTTTGCACTTTTGAGTCGACTCGAAAGCCATCGCAAGATGATGTTGCGCGTGCTTGGCGCCGGCCACAGGACAGGTGTATTTCGAGTCGTTTCATTCCAAGAATCACCAGCAGGGCGCGACGGTGCTGGGTGGCGATCATGCTAGCAAGTGGATCCAAGTGCGACGCTTGCACTTCGAGTGCGCGTCCGATTCCTTTCCGTCGCACATGAAACTCGCCGCGATACGCAATTACGACGGTAGCGCGCGACGGGGCATTGACGCCGAGCGACGTGGAGCGACAGAACAGAGTCGGTCGCTCATGGAGTTTCCAAGTCCACGCCTCACACGCGCCGCCTTCCGCTCACTAGCCCCCGACGAGCGCCGTTCACGAGTGTTTCATTTTGCGCTCGAGGCGCGGCAAAAGGCATCTGCTGCTCGCATGCCGCCTGCCGCGTACTAGTCTGACGAGCCTTCTCTCGTGTTGTAACAGTGTGTGTGCGAATCCCCAAACATGGCGCGCTAAGTGGCCTCCAAGCGTGTTCAGTCACTTGAAACGGTGCGCACTCGCGCACTCCCCGCTTCACTCGGTCGTCGCGTCTCTGTCGCGTCTCTGTCGTACGCACCGCAATCGAGCTCCGCGCCACTCCAACAAGCAGCCCCTTTCCTCCTCGCCCCCAGCGGCTCCCGTTCTCAACGCCTTCCCTTACCCCTCTCCCCCATTGACCGTGAACCCACCCCGTTGCACCGTGCACCCACACTCTCCCCTCCACCCTCCCGTTTATTGACCTGCCTGCCTGTTCCGATGTCCAACCTTCACCGCCTCTCCTCCAACGTCTCTCATTTTCCCCTCCTTCCCCCCACCTCCTGATCCTTCCCCCCGGTCGTTCCCCTCGTCCTGTGCACCGCAGAGGGTTGACCAGGCGTCCCCCATGGAGCTCATCAGCGCCGTGCCGCCCATCACCGTGCGTGCATTACCGTGCACCCATGCACCTCATTCACCTCTTGCCTCGCTCCCCATGCCTCCCTGCCTGTGCACCGCAGAGGGTGGAGCAGGAGTCCCCCATGGAGCTCATCAACGCCGTGCCGCCCATCCTCGTGCACTCACGCGTCGTTGCCTGCCGGGGCGGTGCGTGTGGGGGGGGGTGGGAGGGGGGGATGAGGGAGGAGGTGGGTGGAGAGGAAGAGAGGAAGTGGGAGGTGGGGAAGGGAGGAACAACGGGAGAGGAGAGATGCGGGCTGGACTGGCGAGGTGGGGGAGAGAGGGGAGTTGGATTGGTGAGGTGTAGGAGAGAGGGAAGGCTTGGTCTTCGCAGTGGGGGAGGAGAGAGGGGGCGCATGATGGGCTGATGTCCTGCACTGCATGTCCCCATGCATCACATGCCGTACCCATGCATGGCATGCAGAGATCCATGCAAAACAGCATGCAGGCATCTGAGCCATAACCCCCCATCTTTCCCCCCCTTCTCACTCCAACCCAGGCCCCATCCCCACGCTGGGCTATCCAGTGCAGTACCTCAATCTGGATGACCCTCTCCCTGCTCATTAACACTCCAACCTCCCCCTCTTTCCCCCCCCCTCCTCCCCCTTTCCCCCCCACCTCTCGCCCCACCAGGCCCCAACCCCGCGCTGGGCCATCCAGTAGAGTACATCAACGTGGACGCGCCTCAACCCTCGTCCTGCTCATCCACATGCCCCCACCTCCCCTTCTCCCCTTCCCTCCCTCCCCCCCCCCCCCCCCCCCCCCCTTTCTTATACCAGGCCCCAACCCCGCCCTGGGCCATCCAGTGGAGTATATCAACGTGGACGCCCCTCAGCCCGCTGTCTGCAAGTACTGCGGCCTGCGCTTCCTGCAGGACCACAGCCACTGACCGCACTAGAGCCAAGGGTGGACGGTCCAGAGTGAAGGGTGAAGAGTGAGGGCGTGCGCTTACACAGTTCGGGCTGTGAGCTGCTGCTGCAACTGGGGTGATGTGATGACAGCAGCATGAGCAGTGGATAGATTACCGGTAATCAATGTGTGAGCAATGATGGATGGGAGCATTCAATGTTTGAAGGTAAGACTAGTACCGTAATCTTGTTTCGTGCATGTGTGGGTTCATGGCATTGCAGTCAAGTTCTATGGCCATGTTTCTACCGGTAGATGTCATGAGATTAAATTCATATCGTATGTCAATAAGGCGTGTACATTCATTCATCAACTACATAACATGGTTGAATATCTCAAAGATGACCTACAACAGTTGGGTGTCATTGTCAAACCGGATATAAGACAGTGTCGAATTGAAGACAGTGGGTGTCATTAAAACGGGTATCTTATAAATGGGTGATCCTGATTACGGTATAAGACACCTGTAGAAGTTAGGGGTAATCTTATAACGAGGGGATATCTTCCAAACGGTTCTTTGTCCATTTATAAGAATTATAAGACACCCTAAACAGGGCCTCAGATATCAGGAAAAAACCCTGAAATTCCTGATTTTAGCAGTCCTTTTTTTACCTACACTGAAAAAACAGTTTTCATATTTTTGTGGGACTGATCTTTCAGCCTCTTTTGTTAGGCCACACTGAAATTTCAGACTTTTTTTTCCCAAATACACTGATTCCACAACGTTGTAACAAAACTAACACTGAAAGCAATTCTTACTTGTTCCGTGTGGATTTGCCCGCAATTACAGGGAATCTCAGATTCCTGCGGTGCCAGCACTCCATTGGGCAGTTTTGCTGCAGCATAAAGTGTTGGCTAATCAGAATGTGGCAACCATGTGGTGCTGGAGGGCTGCGAGGGTTCCTGCACCGTTGGCTGTGCTGGCAAGCACTGATGGTCCCATTCCCTCCAATCCAATCTCTCTTGTTTCTTTTCCTCCTGTTTCTCTCTCCCTCTCTCTCAGCCCGATTCCTCTCGTGCTTTCTCGTCTGCACTAATACATGGCGCCACCAGCACCAGAAACGGCGGGCTGTCTGGAATCGAACCCATCGCGAGCGCCGCCGAACCTCCTCTTGTCTCGCCGAACACAACGCTCCCGTTCGACGCGATCCGCAGCTCATGCTGCGAGATGGTCGTCGGCCACGTGGCAATTCTCGTCGGCGTCGCAGGCCCGCTACGACTCGACGACGCGTAGTTTTTCGTGCTAATGGCGACGACCAAAGGCTGCCTCGTCGCCAGCACGAACCGCGGTTGAAAGAACATCTGCGCCGCGGGCGGCGCGCAGAGCGTCGTGCTGCGCGACGGCATGACCCGCGCATGACCCGCGCGGCCGCCGTCCATTCCCCCGCTCCCTTTACCCCGCACTCCGTCCACTCCCTCTCTCCCCCGGTCGTCTCCCCCCCGACCGTGCCAGTCTTCCCTCCTCTCTCCCTCCTGTTCTCTCTTTCCCTGCCTCACCCTGCCTGTCAATCCGGTTCCTCCCCCAAACCCAGCCCCTGCAGCTTCAACGTGTATGTGTCGCAAGCAGAAGTGAAGCCGGGGTGTGTGCTGCGGCAGAGCACTGCCACGTACTGGTGTCCCAAGCTGAGGAGGAGAGAGAAGAACCAAAGGCAGTGATGATAGCACGACTGATGATGATTCATGAGGCATGTTAGCTTAGCAGTGTTTCGGAAGGCTGCTACTGACTTAGTATTTAAAATATAGATTTCTAATAATAACAGCCTTTTATATTATTGAACACTGATGCATCAGCCTTTTTTCAAAGTCAACACTGATATTTCAAGCTTTTTATTTTAAGAACACTATCAATCAGGGTTTCTACACAGGGGTACCCTGATGGGTCGATGACCCTAAAAGTGAATCTGAGGCCCTGACCCTAAACCACCCCAATTACAAGACAACCCAAGCATTTTTTCTAGTGCATAAGATAAGACAAATATGTCTCATATCCGGGCGATGACGGTATATATGTTTGTTGTCTAGGTTGTCTAGGTCTAGGTCTGTAGCCCATAGAGGGTACAACCCATTACGGTTAGTACTTGTACTCCCCATGTCAAATTGCATTTGTTCTCTGTAGGCTGTAATGGGGCATACCCTAAAGGGTACAACACTTTAGGGTTAGGCAGTACTTGTACTCATGCTTCCTACCTAGTCAATCATTCTCACGTTCCTACTTCTGAAATGGTATTCAGAGCGGGTCTGTCCGTAGGACCGCTCCGTTAGGGCCCACCGATAGATTCGACTTGCCCGATCTGCTCGATCTGCCCGTACTGCCCTGCCCAAACTGCCCGTATTGCCCTGCCCTGCTTGCACTGCCTTGCACGGCCTGCCCTGCCCGTCGCGCTGCCCCCACAGCTGCCTAGAGTGCGACCCGCACGCTGCCCTGCTCGCGGCATGCTCGCCCTGCCTGCACGCGCGCTGCCTTAGGCCTACGCGCGCCGCGCCCGCACGCTGCCTGCGCTGGCCGCGCACTGTCTGCACTGCCCGCGCGCTGCTTCTGCTGCCCGCTCGCTGCGTTCCCTGCCCGCGCGCTGCCTGCCTCGCTCGCGCACTGCCTGCACCGCCAGCGCCCTGCCCGCGCACCGCGTCCCCTGCCTGCGCCCTACCTGCACGCCGCTGGCGCTGCCCTCGCGCTGCCCTTCAGGCCCGCCCTGCGCACGCTCTGCCCGCACAGCCCGCGCGCGGCCCTAAGCGCACCGCCTGCACGCGCCCTGCCCACGCTGCGACTGCTGCTAAGCTGCTGCTGCTGCCAGCGCCGCACTGCCCGCCGTGCCCGAGCCGCCCCGCATCGCCCGAGCCGCGCCGCCCTGCCGAGCCACGCCGCCCTACCGAACCGCGCCGCGCTGCTTAGCTGCCTGGCCGATCTGCTTTTGCTGCCGCACTGCTGCTTTTGCTGCTACTGCTGCTACTGCTGCTGCTGCTGCTGCTGCTGCTGCTGCTGCTGCTGCTGCTGCTGCTGCTGCTGCTGCTGCTGCTGCTGGTACTGCTGCTACTCACGATGGATACTCTCAATGTCCTTGCCTTTGACGCGGAGGGTCGCCCGATTAGGTTTGACTGCTGGCTCGAGGACCTCCAGCTGTACCTGCAGAGCCAGGCTAGGGAGGACGTTTCACTGTTAGAACACGTGTCCGGTACCTGCCTAGCCCCTGAGGATACAGCTGCGCGTGCTCTTCGTACTCAGTGGCTCACCCACGATGCTGCCGCCCGCCTTTCTGTACGCAATGCCCTCCCGCCTGAGTAACGAGTCCATTTCGGCCAGCTTAAGACGGCGAAGGAACTGTATGACGTTGTAGTTGCTCGTTACTCCTCCCCCTCGTCTGCTGCCCTAGGCCGTATCATGCTGCCGTACCTTCACCCTAAGCTGTCTGAGTTCCAGATTATTGCTGACCTCTTCACCCACCTTCGCTCTAGTGACGCTCGCTACTGTGCCGCTCTCAAGCCGGACTTTCTGGATGCGAACCCGCCTCCGATGTATATCACACTCCACTACCTCGTTACTCGCCTCCCTGACTCCCTCCGCGTCGTTAGGGCTCACTTTCTTGCTCTCGACCCCACCGAGATCACCCTTACCCTGCTGGAGAAGCATCTTCTCAAGACAAAGAAGAGCTCCGTCGCTGTCGCTGCCTCTCGTGGCACTCCCCGCTCCCCCTTCTTTGAGGGGTGTTCTCCCTCCCTTCTCGCGCCCTCCGTTGCTACTGCTGCTGCTGTTGACTTCCTTCGTACTGAGGAGGTCGGTGCTGCGTCTGCTCCTAGTGGGAGGCGCCGCAACAGCAAGGGCAAGGGGGGTAAGGGTGGTGGGGGGGGCACTGGAGGGGGTGGTGGCGGTGGTGGTGGTGGGGGTGGAGGCGGTGGTGGTGGCGGGAGTGGAGGCGGTGGTGGCGGCAGTGGAGGTGGCTGGGGTGGTGGAGGCGGTGGAGTGGGCGGAGGGGGCTCGGGTGGAGGTCGTGGTGGAGCTGGCAGGGGCGGAGGCTCTGGGGCGGCGACTGGTGGTGCAGCTCGTGGCGGCGGAGGCACTGGGGGTGGACAGCAGCAGCAGCCACGCACCCATCAGGAGCTTCGTGAGTGGGTGGTTCAGCATGGCTCCACTGGGGCCAATGTTCGTTGCCCGTACGTCCGGCGCACGGGGCTCAGGACTGGTGAGCCCTGTGGGAAGACTGGGCACACAGAGTATCGTTGCTTCTGTCGTCTCGAGGATGCCTGGCGCACCGAGTACGGAGATGAGCTGGCTCCCCCCAACTGGTTAGCGTTGCTAGGGAAGGGGGTAGATGTGTTTGCTCTGGACTCTGCCAAGATCAATGCTGGAATCTATGCTATGTATGCTGGTGCTGCTAGTGTTGAGGGTGACTGTTACCCGTGTGTGCCGCGCGCTGCTGGTGTAGAGGCTGCTGCTCTAGGTGCTTGTGAGTCCGCTGCCGCAGGTACTGCTTCTGCTGAGGCTTTGCACACCTTCACACTTGACTCAGGCGCGTCTCGCTGTTTCTATCGCGATTGCACCACAGTCACACCGCTCACAGCACCTGTCCCAGTCTCTCTGACAAACCCCTCTTGGTGTCCAGTTGTTGCACGAGCTCCCTTGTCCGGCAGTCCCCTCCAGTTCTCAGTTCGGTCTCCACATCCCCTCGTTCTCTAAGAACTCGGTGAGTAATGCTGTCCTCCAGGACGAGTTGGTCAGTACCTTTATTCCTGGAGGTGAACGTGTGGCGATCTGTTCGGACTCACGCACTGGCGAGCACCTCGTCACGTTCACCCGGAGCCCTGGGTCTAGCCTGTACACACTGACAGCCTGTACACACTGACCACTGAGTCCGCACAGGTGGCTGCGTCAGGTCAGGTGGCTGCGTCTCCACAGGTGGCTGCGTCGGGTCAGTTAGCTGCGTCTTGTTCGTGCGGGCTACTCTCGCACCAGACTCTCCTCTTGCACCACCGTCTTGGTCACCCCTCCCTGCCGCGGTTGCGTGGCATGCACTCTCTTCTCCTTGTCTTTGGCCTCCCCAGGTCCCTGCCCCTGCTCCCGCGCTCGCTTGCACCGCCGTGCATTCCCTGCGTCGAGGGGCGCCAGCGCGCCGCTCCTCAATCCTCCTCGTTTCCGCCGACCACTGCTCCTCTCCAGACTCTCCACATGGACGTGTGGGGCCCAGCCCGCGTCCGTGGACAGGACCAGGAGCGCTACTTTCTGCTGGTTGTTGACGACTACACGCGCTACACCGCGGTCTTCCCCTTGCGGAGCAAGGCGGATGTCCGAGGTGTTTTGATCAACTGGATCATCGCTGTTCGTCGCCGGCTGAGCGCTCGGTTTGAGCAGGACCTCCAGGTCCTGCGACTGCACTCTCACAGAGGCGGTGGGTTCTCCTCCGACCTCCTTCGGGACTTTTGTCGTGCGGAGGGCATCCGCCAGACGTTCACGCTTCCGGTCTCTCCACAGCAGAATGGGATTGCTGAGCGCCGCATTGGCTTAGTCATGGACGTTGCTCGCACCTCCATGATCCATGCGGCTGCTCCCCATTTTCTGTGGCCGTTTGCGGTCCGATACGCCGCGCATCAGCTCAACCTTTGGCCCCGTGTCTCTGTGCCAGAGACCTCGCCTACACTGCGTTGGACGGGGGAGGTTGGCGATGCGACGGCGTTTCGGGTCTGGGGCGCGCTCTCCCTTGTTCGCGATACCACCGCGAGCAAGCTCTCTCCTCGCACTCTCCGCTGCGTCTTCCTTGGCTTCCCCACCGACGCCCTGCCCTGGCAGTTTTACCACCCTGTCTCGCACTGGGTCTTGTCTTCACAGGACGTCACCTTTGACGAGTCGCTGGTGCTGGAGGTGCTGGAGGTGCTGCTGGTGCTGGAGGTGCTGCTCGTGCTGGAGGTACTGGAGCTGAAGGTGCTGGAGGTGCTGGAGGTGCTGCTGGTGCTGGAGGTACTGGAGCTGGAGGTGCTGGAGGTGCTGCTGGTGCTGGAGGTGCTGGAGCTGCTGGTACTGGAGGTGCTGGAGCTGCTGGTACTGGAGGTGCTGGAGCTTCTGGTACTGGAGGACTGGAGCTGGTGGTGCTGGAGCTGGTGGTGCTGGATGTGCTGGAGCTGGTGGTGCTGGAGGTGCTGGAGCTGGAGGTGCTGGAGCTGCTGGTGCTGGAGGTGCTGGAGTTGCTAGTGCTGGAGGTGCTGGAGCTGGTGGTGCTAGAGGTGCTGGAGCTGGAGGTGCTGGAGGTGCTGGAGCTGGTGGTGCTAGAGGTGCTGGAGCTGCTAGTGCTGGAGGTGCTGGAGCTACTGGTGCTGGAGGTGCTGGAGCTGAAGGTGCTCGAGGTGCTAGAGCTGGAGGTGCTGGAGGTGCTGGAGCTGCTGGAGCTGGAGCTGCTGGAGCGGCTGACGGTATGGGTACTGTGCCGCGTCGACCATTTTTCTACCCGCAGCCGCAGTCGTCCCTGCCACCGCCTGACTCGGCCCTTCGCCAGGCTCTTAGTCTCCCGTCTTCCACTGGCCTCACTTCACCTCTCCTGTGTCCACCGACAGACCAGTCTCAGCCACAGCTACTGCCTAGCTCCCCACTGCCTGCTCCTGCTCCTCACAGTGAGGTGACTAGGTCCCTGACTGAGCGTCGTGAGCCTGAGACTCGTGCTTCCACACATGTTCGTGCTCGTCGCGTCCCACGTCCTCGTCCTCCTGCTGTCCCAGGCACTCACGTTATGGAACTTCGTCCTTCCTCTGTTCCACAGCGTGTTGCCCTGCCGTCTCCTGCTTCCTCTCTTCCTGACGTTCCTGACCCTGAGTCCGACCTTGTTCGTGCTGCCAGTCCTACTGTCACTCGTCTCCTCGCTACTGTCGTCACTGACCCTGACTTTGAGTCTACTGCTGCGTTTGCCCTAGTCACTGAGCTAGTCGACATTGCTGCTAGGAGTCGTCTTGACTACGTCGCGAGTATTGTTACTGAGTCTGAGTCCGTCTGTCCTCCGTCCGTCGGGGGTGAGAATGCCCTTGGGTGTGACGTCCTTGAGGACAGGCAGTTTGAGCTTGAGTGTCTCGCGGCCGATTTACCTCATTTCGCGTCCATGCTGCTTTGCCCTGAGGGAGACCCGGTTACACTTGACATCCCCACCCCGCGCTCTTACAGAGAGGCGATCACGGGTGAGTAATCCTCTTAGTGGCAGACAGCCATGGATGCAGAGATGGCTTCTTGGAAGTCCACAGGCACCTACGTCGACGAGGTTCCCCCTCCTGGGGCGAACATAGTCGATGGCATGTGGATTTTCAGAGTGAAGCGGCCGCCGGGTTCTCCGCCTGCCTTCAAGGCGCGTTACGTTGCTCGAGGATTCAGTCAGTGACAGGGGGTCGACTTCTTCCAGACCTTCTCCCCCACCCCGAAGATGACTACTCTTCGGGTGTTGCTGCACGTTGCAGCACAGCGTGACTACGAGCTGCACTCCCTCGACTTCTCCACAGCTTTCTTGCAGGGCAGCCTTCACGAGGAAATCTGGCTGCGCTGCCCACCTGGCTTCACTGGGTCGTTTCCAGAGGGTACCCAGTGGAGCCTCCGACGGCCAGTCTACGGACTCCGCCAGGCGCCCCGCGAGTGGCACGACACACTGAGGACGACACTTGCGGCTCTTGGGTTTGCTCCTTCCACTGCTGACCCGTCGCTGTTTCTCCGCACCGACCCTACTCTGCCGCCGTTCTACATCCTCGTGTACGTCCACGACTTGGTCTTTGCTATTGCCGACACTGAGGCGCTGACCCTTGTGAAGGTGGAGCTGCAGAAGAGACACACTTGCACTGACCTGGGTGAGCTACGTAGCTATCTTGGCTTGCAGATCACCCGGGACAGAGCACGGTGCACCATCACTCTGACTCAGTCACACATGGTGCACCAGGTCCTCCAGCGCTTCCGCTTTCGGTTCTCCTCGCCACAGCCCACTCCTCTGCCTACAGGCCACTCGCTCTCAGCTCCACCTTCGGTCGAGTCCGTAGAGCCGAGTGGCCCGTATCCAGAGCTTGTGGGCTGCCTCATGTATCTGATGACGTGCACACGACCTGACCTCGCGTACCCTCTCAGCATCCTTGCTCGCTTCGTCGCCCCCGGGCGACACAGGAAGGAGCACTGGATAGCTACGCAGAGGGTACTGCGTTACTTGTGCAGTACATCGGGCATGGGGCTTGTGCTTGGAGGACGGGGTCCAGTGGTACTAACAGGATACTCCGACGCTTCTTGGGCTGACGACCAGGCGACTCAGCGGTCGTCCCAGGGTTACTATTTCAGTCTCGGCTCTGGTTTTGTCTCGTGGAGGCCCGCTCGTTCGTCTTCTGTGCTTGGTTCTAGCTGTGAGGCCGAGATCTACGCTGGGGCCATGGCTGAACAGGAGTTACGCTGTCTAACCTACCTGCTGGCCGACTTGGGTGAGCGGCCTCGTTCTCCTCCAGGCCCTGATTGCCTTGTGTCAGGAGCAGAGACTGGAGCACAGAACAAAGCACATTGCTCTTCGTTACTTTCTTGCTCGGGAGCTGCAGCAGCGTGGTCAGTTGCGCCTTGCTTACGTGGCCTCTCGGGCCAACACTGCTGATGTCTTCACCAAGGCCCTTGGGTCTTCATCAGCGTTTCTGCACTGCTCTAGGCCTTGTGCCTACTCTGCATCACCTGCTTGTCTCTTGATCTTGTCTTGTATTGTGGTATATATATATATACCTGCATGCTTGTTCTTGCTAGGTTGTGATCACTGTACTGCTTGTGCTTTTATAACTCTGCATGTGAACTGGCCTTGTGGCTGCTTGCTTGTGCTAAGAATGTGTGGTGATCTTAAGATCCACCCTGAGCTTTGCTTTGCTTTGTTCTCTTGCTTGACTGGTCTTGTGACCGTCCGCTGTGTTTGCTATCCCCCACTTTGCCTATGGGGGTGTGTCAAATTGCATTTGTTCTCTGTAGGCTGTAGTGGGGCATACCCTAAAGGGTACAACACTTTAGGATTAGGCAGTACTTGTACTCATGCTTCCTACCTAGTCAATCATTCTCACGTTCCTACTTCTTACACCCCATTACTGTTAGTCAACCGTTCCCACTTCTCTACCTTCTCGACATGGTATTAGAGCGGTCTCGGGTTCGAATCCCGGTGTATGCACATGTAGGCCGTTGCCGTTGTGCTGAAACCTGGACCTCCTAGAGTAGGGGAGGTGTCAGTAGATCTGCATTGTGAGATCCCCGATTGAATCCTCGGGGGGTTACAGGCGTGGCCTGGAGGGTTATGGCCGCACGGATCCGCTACACAAACAAGCCCTTGTTAACGTGGTAACGGAATAATGGATTGGGTAGAAATGACTATGACAAGGAAGATATACCAAACCCTAGCCAACCGTAGCCAATCCTAAACATAAATGTACACCACTTAGACAAGCAAATACAAAGTATAACAATCATAGTTTGACACACCCCCATAGTCTACCGTCATCGCCCGGATATAAGACATATATGTCTTATCTTATACATTAGAAAAAAAGCTTGCTGCATCTTATACTTGGGATGGTTTAGGGTGTCTTATAATTCTTATAAATAGGCAAAAGATATATGAACCCTGTAGCATTGACAAAGTGTGTAGAAACCACCCAGGAGGTGGATGCATTGAATTCGGCCGCACATTGACACTGATGCATGCGTCGCCACCACGTGTCACGTGATGGGACTCAGCAATGCTGCTTGTGCTGGCAGAATCCCGGCCTGCTGGCAGCATCTCATGATGCTGCCAGTGTCGTTTTGCTACCAGCAGCGACCAGAGGCTTCTAAAACGCTGCCAGCAGTACGATGGTAGCATGCTGTCATCATGAGCTGTCCTCTACGAGGACATTTCTCGTAGAGGAGCGGCTCGTCTTCCACATGAGGGGGCACTCAGGCAGGGGGGGTAGTCGGGCTTGAGCTTCATTTTGAGCTGATGGAACTCAAAATAACGACCGACCTTTGCTCTAAGCATGCTCTATCATGCGTAGTAAGCACCCTGCAAGCGCGCCGTCTCCTCGCCCTAACCTCCAGGTTACAAACTATGGGCGCATCAACTCGGCCGGTGACGACATCCGTGTAGCTATGGCGAAAGAGAAGCGCCAGCCGATGGGATGCTCTAACGCTGGCTCAGGAGCGAGCTGTGACGAGGACAAAGGCGACGAAGACCATGGCGACGAGGGCGAGGAGGATTGGCCCGAGAACGGTCACGACGATAGCGCATCGGGTGACGACGTGCCTGCTGGCGGCATCGACGACGACGATTGGTGGACGCGGCAGATCGGCTCTGGCGACGAAGTGGAAGAGCGGCGTGCCGGTGACGATGACAACGACGTAGGCGCGGATGCAGTTGCTGATGCGGCGGCGGATGCGACGGTAGAAGCCCCTGCGGCGGCGACTACGGATGTCCCTGCGGGAGCAACGAGTGATGCGGATGCGGCTGCGGATGCGGCTGCAGATGGTCCAGCGAATGCGGATGCGGATGCCGATGCGGAGGCGGATGACGAAGCGGGAGCGGATTCGGCTGCGGATGCTGGCCGTCACGCTGTCTTCTTTGAAGGCGAAGCCAATGATGAAGACCCATGGCGCTTCTCCGACGATGACGAGGTTCCTCTGATGAAGAGGAAGGTGCGTCATCGGCTACGCGTCCCCCCCAAACGCACCAGGGTGGTGCTCTTGGACGACGACAGCCCGGCGGAGGAGCAGCGACCCCGCCTCAGTGCCGCAGACAAGGGGAAGAGCCAGCTCGTGGAGGTTCCTGCTAAGGCTGACCGTCGCCGCCGTGCAAGCAAGAAGAAGCGGAAGGACGATGGTGACCCGGGTTCTAGCAAAGGCGCGAAGAAGAAGAAGAAGAAGCCCGGCAAGAACAAAGACGACATCGTGGTCAACGAGGCGCTCGGCAGCGACGATGACTACGCGGAGGCTGCAAGCCCCATGCCTTCATTCCCCGAGAAGGCTAAGCCTAAAGACCCCACCCTCCGTGATGCCAACTCCCGCCCCCCTTCCCCACGCAGTCGCGGAACTAAGAGGACCAGGCGATCATGGAATGTGCGCGAAAAGCTGAAGTGGGCGCATCGCTATAAGGAGCTCGGCTCACTCAAGAAGACATGGAGCGCGCAGGCTCCATCGGGCATGTACAAGGGCGCGGCGAACGCCCGCAGGCGCATGCACGGGGCGGGCCGCCACTCACACTACCCTGACATAGAGGCGACGCTATACCGCTACATCTGCCTGCATCGCTCGAATGGGGTGGCGATCTCGGTGAGGGCACACAGAAGTGGAGCCGCGAGTGGATGAAGAAACACCACCCCGGGAAGAACTGGAACGCGAGCTCACACTGGAGCCAACGTTTCTGCGACCGCTGGAACTTGGTCATGCGTGTGAAGACCAAGGTTGGCCAACGTTTGTCGGCTGGTGAGTGGTTCTTTGACTGAATTCGCACTGGAGTGTCCACTGTATGTGCCTAGCCATACAAAGACATCACATGTTCAACCATCCCCTTCGTTGTGTGTGTTTTTTTTCCTTGGCAGAGTGCGCTAAGGACTGCGAGGCATTTTGGAAGTTCGTGAGAATCAACAGGGCGCGTCACAACATCGACCTGGGCCGCATCATCAATGCGGACCAGACGCCGGTCTTTGTTGAGATGCAGGCCGAGAGGACCCTTGACCACCGTGGCGCACGCTCGGTCCCGATCCGCACGGCAGGATACAAGAAGACGCGGCTGACATTGATGCTCGCGTGCACGGCATCCGGGGAGAAGCTGCGCCTGTGGGTTTGGTTCAAGATGAAGAACGTGCCGAAATGTGACATTCCGGCAGGTAAGCAAAACGAATTCGGGTTTGGTAGAGTGTTGAGCTGGCCCTTCTTGGCTGAGGCCCCAATCCCCCTCTGTGCCTGGCAGGTGTCGTGGTCCAAGCACAGGATAACGGGTGGATGGACGAGAGCGCTGTGCAGACCTGGCTGACAAAGGAGGTGTTGCCCCATCTCAACCCCTAGCGCGGCCAGAACGCAAGGCGTGCGATGCTGGTGTTTGACTCCTACCGAGGCCACATCACCCAGGGCATGCTTCAAGCCTATCGCACGCACAGCATCACCCCTGCTGTCATTCCTGCAGGTTGCACACGCCAAATTCAACCCTTGGACGTCTCCATCAACCGGTGCTTCAAGGCCGCGGTGCGCGCACGCTACGCCAGGTGGTTCATGCGTGAAGGACTTTACCTGAAGACGAAACACGGTGAGTGCACGTTCTATGATCACTAAATTCACGCCTATTGCAGCTTGATGTATCTAACGGCACACTGCACCTGCCTGTGACCCACCCGCAGGGAACTTGAGGAGGCCTCCACACCACGTGGTGCTGCAAAGGATTGCGGAGGCGTGGGATCAAGTCCCCACGCAGGTCATCATTGATGCGTTCCGCCACTGTGGGATCTCAAGCAAGCTAAACGGGACTGAGAACCACCTGGTGATGTCCCACCTGCACGCGAGGAGCACCACCGATGTCTCCGAAGACATGTGCCTCGGCGGAACCACGGGCGACAACACGCGCCTGCTTGGTAAGGCTCCGGAGGAGGGGGAGGAGGATGAGGAGCACCTGCAGGCGGAGGGCATCAGGGAGGTGGGCGTGGCAACAGGGCTGGAGGTGCTGTACCAGGAGACCCCCAACTACCGCGGAGCGGCGGCCGAGGCTGACCTCATGATCGAGCCCAAGCAGACGGCCAGGCACGCCCGGCGAGTGCCAGACTTGGGGGTGCAGGAGCCTGTATCTGCTAGTGCAGATGAGGAGGGCGTTACCGAGGGGGGCTAGGTAGAAGTAGCAATGGATGATTGTATGCATGTACCCCCCCTGAATGCTAGACGAACCATTTAAAAGACACCTCCCTCTTTATAAGAAAACCCCTAAACCCTAGTGTCAGAATCCCAACCACTAGACCATTGGGATAAAAGGGCTTGTTTGTGTAGCGGGTGAGTGCGCCCATAACCCCCCAGGCCAACGTGCCTGTAACCCTTCCCTAGGATCAATCGGGGATCACCAGTGGACCTCTTACACCCCCCCGCACTGGGATGCCCGAAGTGCACACGCTGGGATTCGAACCCGAAACCGCTCTGATACCATGTAAGAATCCCAACCACTAGACCATTGGGATAAAAGGGCTTGTTTGTGTAGCGGGTGAGTGCGCCCATAACCCCCCAGGCCAACGTGCCTGTAACCCTTCCCTAGGATCAATCGGGGATCACCAGTGGACCTCTGCCACCTAGTACTGTTTACAAGACATTGTCTTAACTCGTACACGCATGTAGGTGCCTTATAATCAGGAGCACCCAAATATAAGATACACCCGTTTTAAAACCAGGGTCACATGTAAATCGAGTGTTTTGCAGTGGATTGAAACCCCCGTGCCTGATTGGTTGTCAAAATTGGAGGTTGGGTTGGGGGAATAGCGAACTTCGCTAATCTGATACATTTCGTACACAAAATCAAGCCAGGGATGCAGAGTTTGTCGAAACGGGCATCTGCGACAAACTATGCTCGCACACACCACAAACTAGAAAACTGGTCGCAAGGTTTCAGAGAGCCCATCGAACCTCCGTCAACACCCACAACCACCTCCTCGACCTTCTCCAGCAGCTGACTTACCTGAGCCGCCATCACAAGTGCTACTCTACGAACGCGACTAAGGTGAGCGCGCCTCACAGACCAGACTATATCGTGCTTCCATAGAGCATATTGGTAACTATCACAAGGTAGCGCGGCAGTATGGCACTTTCACACCTAACCAATATAAATTCGGCAAACAGAGTACCGTCGGAACTACATTATTGCTCATTGACTAGCGCGCAGAATTCAACTGCCGCGGGATATCCACCAAAATGATGAGCGTAACAGACGCCTAGAAACCGACGAATATGGGCAGTGCCATGAGCGATTCGTTGTCACGGCTATTGCGTGACCGAACTGGCGTGGAGTGTCCCAGAATAAACATAGCTCGACCGACACAAACAACTCTGCGCTAAAATCGCAATGCTCGGGCGCGACCGTAGAAAAGAATCCTCCCTAACAAGGTGCACCAGCCCTCACGGTACCTCCTGCGGTCTAAAATGCATGCGGCTGGGCCGTCGAAAAGTTTAGCGCTCCTGTGCCCAGCTGTCTCTGCCCCATCGTCATGCAATGGCAGCGGTGTGTGCTCACCCTCCACCCTTCTCGCGTACCACCAATCACCCTCGCACTTATGGGTTCCTTGCGCATCAGCTAAGCCTCCACTTCCACTCTGCACCTCGCCAGTCCGCTACAAACCACCCCTCTCACCCTCCCTCGCAGGCCCAGTTGCGGTGCGCAAGAGGGTAGGCTCACAGCTGGGAGCCGAAAGACAAATTCCCAGAGTCAACTTCCTTCCCCTTTTTTATACCACCTTCCCCTTCCACCACCCTGTTCCAGGACCAAAACGTCACTGGGCGGTAACAGCTCATATTCAATCGCGAAAGCAAAGGTGGCGCCATCCCCCCTATTTCGGCCGCGACGGACCCAACACACCACCCTACGCAACCCGTCGTTTCCCCGTCTGCTCCTGCTCATTTCCATTCCCTCTCAATCCTCACTTATCCCCCGCTTTGTCCCCTCCCCTCCTGCCCTACGCATACCGGCACCCTATGGGCTCATCACTTCGCACACTAGGCGAGACGCATGCCACTGAAAACACACCCCGACAGCCCACGGAATCCGCATTCCTACACGAGGTGCGTCAGCCGTAAGCTTCATCCCCCTGCTCTGCCCTTATTACAGCGCCGTTCAGTTCCCTGTTTTCGCCAGCCCTGACCTTCCGAACGTCATGCAAATCCCACGCTAGAATTTTCCTATCTCCCCGCACAACGCTTCCACACCCCTTCCTGTGCGCTAGATCTCCCTTTCCCCCACGCTTCCCCTCCCCTTCCCCCACGCTTCCACACCCCTTCCTCCACGCAAGCACTCCCTTTCCCCCACGCTTCAACTCCCCTTCCTCCACGGTTTCACTCCCCTTCCCCCATGGGAATACTCCCCTTCCCCCCCGCCTCCACACCCCTTCCCCTACGCTTCCACTCGCCTTCCCCACACATCCACTCCCCTTCTCCTACGCTTCCGCTTGCCTTCCCCACGCTTCCACTCCCCTTCCCCCACGCTTCCACTCGCCTTCCCCCACGCTTCCACTCCCCTTCCCCCAACCTTCCACACCCCTTCCACCACGGTTTCACTCCCCCTCCCCCACGGTTCCACACCCCTTCCTCCACGGGAGCACAATGGATTCCCCATGTTCCACTCCCCTTCCCCCACGATCTCGCTCCCCTTCCCCCACGCCCTCACTCCCCTTCCGCCACGCTTCAACTCCCCTTCCTCCACGGTTTCAGTCCCCTTCCCCCACGGGAACACTCCCCTTCCCCCACGGTTCAACCCCCCTTCCCCACGCTTCCTTTCCCCTTCCCCGCGCTTCCTCTCCCTTTCCCCCACGCTACTACTCCCTTTCCCCCACTCTTCCCTCCCACCACACTTAGTTCCCCCACCATTTCACGCCTTGATGCTCCACTCTGGAAACTGCCTGCACGGCCCTGTTCCGCCACTTGCGATGCGCGGATCCCTCCCACTTGTCTGTCCGGCATTTCAACCGAAAAAAACTCACTGTTGCTCCTCGGGTGACCCTCTAACCCCTCCCCGCTCCTCTCACACCTTCATTCCCTCCCCTGCACGCTTCCCCCTCCCCCCCTTCACGCTTGCATTCCCTCCCCTGCACGCTTCCATCCCCCCCACCCCCCCCCCCCCCCCCCCCCCTCTTCACGCTTGCATTCCCTCCACTGCTCGCATCCATTTCTCCCCCCCCTCTTTCACGCTTCCATTCCCTCCCCATCACATTTCCATTCCCTCCTGCTCACACTTCCATTCCCTCCCCCTCACCTTTCCATTCCCTCCCCCTCACGCTTCCATCCCTTCCCCCTCACGCTTCCATTCAATCCCCCTCACGCTTCCATTCCCTCCCTCTCACGCATCCAACGCCCTTGCCCGCTCGCTCCCCATACCTTCTCCTACGCGCTTCCATTCCCTCTCCCTCACGCTTGCATCCCTTCCCCTCACGCTTGCATTTCTCCCCCTCACGCTTGCATTCCTTCCCCTCACGCTTGCATCCCTTACCCTCACGCTTGCATCCCTCCCTTCCCTACCATTTCCTTCCCTTCCCTCTTTTCCCCTCCCTTCCCATCCTGTCCCTTCCTACCCTTTCCCTTCCCTGCCATTCCCATCCCATCCCTTCCCTTCCCTTCCTATCCCTTCCCGTCCATCAAACTGCTTACCCTGTCATTCCCTTCCCTTCCTCTCCGTTCCAGTCCCTTCCCTTGCTTATGGTGCCATTTCCTTCCCTTCGTCTCCTTCCCTTCCCTTCCCTTCCCTTCCCTTCCCACCCCTTCGTTTCACTCCCCTTCCTTTCCATTCCCCCCCCCCTTCACGCGTCCACTCCTCCCCCTCACGCATCCATTCCCCCTCCCTTGAGACCCCTTCACGCTTTCATTCCCTTCCCCGCACACTTCCATTCCCTCCCCCACTCGCTACAATTCCCTCCCCCGCTCACTTTCATTCCCTCCCACGCTCGCTTCCATTCCCTCCTCCGCTCGCTTCCATTCCCTCCCCCACTCGCTTCCATTCCCTCCCCCGCTCGCGTCCATTCCCTCCCCCGCTCGCTCCCGCTCCCTTCCATGCCCTTGTTGGTGCAACCCTACGGTTTGCACTCGGCTTGTTGTCCGTGTGCGTGAATGTGTGTGTGTATGGAATGGTATGAGGGCATGGGATAATATATATTTCATGCTTATAATTGTGTGTGAATGTTGAGTCATGATGTCGAGTGTGTGTGTCGAGTCAATAGCGAGTTATCGCTAGACGCGTGTTACGCGGTCGTTTGTGTCTCGCGCGCGGTTTCTATTTTGTCGTGCGCAGTTTTTATTTTGTCCTGTGTCGAACGTTCGGCGTGTCGCAGGTGTGTGCAGCAGACCCATCAAGAACTCAAGGATGAGTTTGTGATGAAGAGCCCGAGCCTTGGTGTCAAGCCTCAAGTGATTTCGAAGCTTGCCAAAAGGGTACACCTCAAGATATTGAAGATAGTTACATTACTTTGTGTAGTGTAACATTTCACTTGGTGTAGGCCCTAGTGAAGGGTAGTTTCGAGATCCTTCGTGGTTGGGGACAGTGTGGCACTGTTCCACATCACTGTACCTCGGCTCTTGGGGTTTGTAGGAGCTGGGAGTCATTCCCAACTCGTAACTCTTCCTATCTTGTGTTCTAAGACTATAGTGGCTGCCATAGTACCGTTCGTTCAAACCGACGCTGTGTCGTCAATTCTTTATCAAATCGTGCAATCTAAATTGCTTATTGTAGGCGACGTAAAGACGCTCCAGATCCAATTTGAATCAAGTCATTTGCAGCTGTGAGCAGAACGGTATCAACGTTTGAAGCCGCTGTGCAGAAATCCGTCTGTGCACTCTATCTTTCGTTTTAGGCACATTCAAGCCTATTGTGACTATAACAAGTGGTATCAGAGCCCCTTGGAGCAGTTTCGACAATGTCTGGACCTGAGGAAAGGGGTGGCAGAGGTGCTGGTGGCAGTGGAGAAGCTCAAGCTCAAGGCCAACCCCGTGATTCAGCCATGGCGCCCATGCAACCAAGTCTTGGCCCACCTAGGGATGAGCCTAGGGTGTTTGGGCTTGACAAGTTCAACGGTGACAACTTTGCTGAATGGTCCTTCAAGATGGAGAACATCTTTGACCACTATGACCTGCTGGAGGTGATGGAAGGAACGGAGAAGCGCCCCGAGAATGACCCGGAGAAGAGCCCGTGGGTGCGGAAGAGCGCACAAGGCTATCTCTTACTTGGGCAAGCGTTGGGGAGCAGTCAGATCCGTCACATCAAGCCATTCCAGCGTGAACCAGAGAAAGGACCAAAGGCATGGGCTGCTCTCAAGGGTGTACATGCTCCTGCAACAGCGGCGGTAGCGGTGGTGTTGGAACGGCAAATGGCGGCACTACGAATTGAAGAAGACGAAGCGGTTGAAGAAGGGGTGCAGAAATTCTTCGACTTGTTGACGCGGCTTGAGGGAGCTGATTTGAACTACAGTGAGGTCCAAAAGAAGACCAAGTTGCTGGCCTTACTCCCAGAGTCATGGTCCTCGCTCATCATCAACCTTAATCGCGACTTGCCCCGCCTCTCGCTTGAAGACGTGAAGCGAGCTATCCTTCAAGAGGATTTCCGCCGCCGTGAGTTGGCGAGTGCGGATGGCGCTGGGGCAGCGAGCATCGGCCGTGGATATGGTCGAGGAAGAGGCAGAGGACGAGGGGGAGGAAGGTTTGGTGGCAGCAACTTCGGCGGAGGCCGCAGGAGTGGCGGTTACGGCAGCGACGACAAGAGCTACGGACGCGGTCGCGGCCGATTCGACGGCGAGTGTCACTATTGCCACAAGAGCGGACACATGTGGCGCGACTGCTACAAACTCCCTGATGGTTGGACCCCTGCTCAAGGCCAAGAGGGTAGAGGAGCAGGAGGAGGGAGAGGACGAGGCCGTGGAGGCCGTGGCGGTCGCGGTGGCGGAGCTGCAAACATGAAGAGCGGAGACAACGACAAGGACCCGAGCGACGATCGATACCCGGGTCTATTCTACTTCGTGTCGACGCAAGTACCGGCTGGTCCAGAGAAGGATGAAGGCTTTGAGGAGCCAGCAGCTGTGGGGAAGGTGACCCTACACCCCCTGGACTATTGGGTGATTGATAGTGGCGCTACCTATAGCATGACACCTCGCCCGGACTTGCTCACCGAACTCGAGCCGTCACCGGTGAAGCATGTCACATCGGCTTTGGGGCAGCGAGCAGAGGTGAAAGGCATGGGCAAGGCCATGTTCAAGGGTGCTGATGGGAAGATGGTGGGCCTCAAGAACGTGCTTTGGGTGCCCAGCCTTGCTGCAAACCTGATTTCCGTGCGGCGGTTGGCAAAGGCCGGCATGGACACGAACTCGAAGGGAGCCAAGACCTACACCGCAAGGCTTGGCGATCGAATTCTTTGGGACCTTCATGAGGACAGGGATGTCTACAACGAGATGTGGCAGATCCCAGTGGTCCCTATGCCTAAGGAGAGGCAAGTGGCAGCAAGCATCAGCACCAAGGATGGAGCGGTCGGTAGCGACGATGGCGCGAACGGTCGCGCTAAGGAGAATGAGCTCAAGAAGAGCAAACCTGGAGGGACCAGCAAGTTCAGTGAACCTAAGGAGAGTGGTGCAGCAACCAAGGAGCAGCAAAAGGGTGAGGAGAACCCAGAGGCAGCAGCGGAGGAGGACTACGGAGAGAGTATGTGGGGCGCTATTGCGAGCGCGGCATTCTCCAATCCAACTTCGGCTACGGGGGAGTGTGATTGGCTCACCTTGCATCGGCGCATGGGGCATGTGGCCCTGCCCATCTTGCAGCAGCTAGTGAAGAATGAGATGGTTGCTGGCATACGTGTGAAGGGGGAGCCCGATGAGGTGCTTGGCTGCCCGACGTGCATTCAAGCCAAGTTCACCCGGTTTCCGTTCCCTAGTTCGGAGGCAACGGCAAAGGCACCGCTTGATGAGGTGGTGATGGACGTGGTGGGCCCCCTGAAGCTTGGAGCTGCTGGAGCTGAGTATTTTCTCACCATTGTCGACGTCTACACCCGCATGACTTGGGTGTACGTGCTGGCCAAGAAGAGCGACGTGGCTGAAACGTTGAAGACGGATTGGTTCCCGATGGTGGAGCGGCAACAAGACCGTCTAGTCAAGTCAATCCGCACCGATCGAGGGGGAGAGTTCCTGAGCAAGGAGTTTGGGTTGTGGCTGAAGAAGAATGGTATTCGGCACTCCCTCACCATGCCATACTCCCCTGCAATGAACGGCATCGCCGAGCGAGCGAACCGCACAATCACGGAGGCGGCACGCGGGTTGCTCATTGAAGCCGGGCTACCCGACTATTTCTGGCCTGATGCGGTGCGGAGCGCGTGTGTGGCCAAGAACAGAGCCTTGACTCATGTGGGAGCAGACAAATGGGTGCCCTATGTGGAGTGGCTAGGAAGGAAGCCAAAGGTGGATATGCTTCGGGTGTTCGGGTGCATGTGCATGGCGCTCGTGCCTAAGCATCTTCGGCACAACAAGCTTGGTGCCAAGGCGGTGTGGGCCGTGCACTTGGGCATGGCTCAAAACAGCAAGGGATGGCTTCTTTGGGACCCATTCACCAAGAAGTTCTTGGTGAGCAGGGACTGCAAGTTCATGGAGAACTTCATGTACAAGGATTGGAAGGCGGAGAATGAGGCGAAGATAGGCGTGCGGTTTGGGGAGGTGAAGAGTTCTGGTTTGGAGCATGTGGAGCTGCCTTTGGAGCTGAGCAGCGGCAGCACAACCACAAGGCAATCCTCCCTTGTGAATGGGGGAGAGGAGGCCAATGATGCAGAGGAAGAAGAGGAGGAGGTGCAGCAAGTGAGCGAGCGTGCACCGTCACTCCCTTCCCGTACTACGAGTGCTCCACGGATTCGAGCCACACCGCAGCAACGCCAAGGCCTTCAAGTCCCTGCAGCTGAGGAGGAAGGAAGGGGGAAGAGGAGAGTTCAACCCCCTAATAGGCTGACCTATGATGCGCCGGGAAAGCAGGGCAAGACAGCCCTGGCCGGAGCGGCAATGATGGTCGGAGACGACGAGGAGAGTGACTACGAGGAGTGTGCCTTCGCGTTCTTCTCTCCGGTGGAGATGCCGGGAGAACCAGCAACTCTCAAGGAGGCTTTGGAGAGTAGTGATGCTGAGGAGTGGAAGAAGGCCATGGAGAGTGAGCTGAAGAGCATCGAGGAGAATGACACGTTTGAATTGGTGGAGCTACCGGAGGGGCGTACGGCGATAACGTCCAAGTGGCTCTTCAAAATCAAGTCGGATGCCGACGGCAAGATCGAGCGCTACAAGTCTAGGCTTGTAGCCAAGGGGTACCAGCAGAAGGAGAAGGTGGACTTCAAGGAGCTGTTTGCCCCTGTGGTGAAGACGACGACGCTGCGAACCCTATTCGCGGGAGCCGCCATCAAAGGATGGGTAGTAAAGCAAATGGACATCGTAACGGCATTCCTTAACGGCATCCTTGAGGAGGAGATTTTTATGGCGCAGCCAGAGGGGTTTGATGGTGGTAGTGGCAGAGTGTGGAAGCTGAAGAAGGCCCTCTATGGGCTGAAGCAGGCCCCTAGGCAATGGTACATGAAGCTGCGCGAAGTGTTGGAGGGGATCGGCTTCACTCCCTCAACGGCCGATCACTCCTTGTTCATGCTTGGCGAGGGGGAGCAGAGGAGTTTCATGGTGGTTTATGTGGATGCCATCCTCATTTTCTCACCCTCTTCTGACCTTGTGAAGGAGGTGATGCTGAAGCTTCAAGACAAGTTCAAGTGCAAGGCCCTTGGTGACGTGAGCTTCTACCTTGGGCTCCACATCGAACGAGATGTGGAGAAGCGGTGCATGCGGGTGCATCAACGAAAGTACCTGGAGGCATTGGCTGCCAACTTTGGGCAGAGTGAAGGCCATGTGGCTACACCCTTTCCCTCTGGGTTCAAGTGTGTGAAGGGACCAGAGGAGGAGAGCGTTGGTGAAGAGGAGAGGCGCCGATTTCACTCGTTGGTGGGCAGCCTCATGTATGCGGCGGTAAACACCCGACCGGACGTCGCGTTTGCTACCGGGCAGCTGGCTAGGGTTGTGCAATGCCCTAATGAGGAGCAGGTAGCAGCTGGAATGAGGGTGGCCAAGTATCTTGGCCAAACACCGACCGTTGGGCTGCAATACTCGGCGGCGGCACAAAGACGCCAAAAGGGCGCGGATGGTGTTGAACCCGGGCGTTTGTTCCTCACCGCCTACTCGGATG